ATAACTGGCTGTGCCATCTGAAATGTACTGATTGGTTCACTGAGTTGGCCACAGTCCTTTGGAAAGCGATCAAAAAAAATTTTGTTTGAGAAGGTAAAAACTCTGCCACTACTTAGCCATAAGATCTTAAACCAAGTTACCCAGCCTCTCTGAGGATGTTTCCTTACCTGCCAAAATAGAGGTATGGAAATCTACCTTGCAGGGTTGCTGTGTACATACCAGAAATAACATATGAAAAGTATCTGGCATGTGGAAGTTCATTGAATGGAAGATGTAACTTCTATCCTAACTGAAATAGTTAGTTTATCTGGTTGGCAGGGTACTAGATAATGACCCTAAAAATGTTTTAACTTGGATCTTAAATCCAGTTAACTCTTGTATTTAAGGAATTGTAGGCAGTGTATTAAAAACTCGCCCCTCTCCCAGAACTTTAACAATACCACAAGCAAACTTCATGTTAAAATTTGCTCATCAATCACCTTACTCTTTTATTTATTGGAACTCCTTTCCACAGAAAATATTTGACAAAAGTCGGAACAGACTTTCACTTGTCTCAAAATACTACTTCTTGCACTGCAGAAAATACTGAATATTTACTACAAAATACTTTGATGGAAATTACAAAATGGACAGTTCATAAGCAGTTTGCAAATTCGATACGCTAATCTGAAACTATCATTCCAAAATAAATATCTTACTGTTTGCCTAAGAACAGTTGGTTCTTGGGGGACAATATTCTACCATGCTTGGGGGATAATATTCTACCATGAACAAATGCTTGGGGGATAATATTCTACCATGACGAAAAACTCGTTGGCATATTTAAAGCCAATTAAAGAAGGATTTCAATGTTCAATTCGGAGTGTCCAAAGTTATTTTTACTAAAGTTCTGGCCTTCCCCTCTTCCAATTTTTTCCTTTGAAAACACACAAACTGTAAATTACATGCTCTAAAGAGAAGAAAGAGCTAACGTGTATTTCAGAAAACGGAGATATTGGCTTAGACCAACTAGTTTCTATATGGTTTCATTCTGCATCAACAGGTTGCAAGCCCGGAGAGACCCATGGTGCTCAACTCTAGTCCCATGTCCCTTCTAGATCTTGACCTAGTGCTTATTTCCTACAGGAGGGGAATGTGGGACACACAGGCTACAGCACGACCCTGATAAAGTGTGGGCCCCGAGAACCAACTACGACGGAGTAACTTCCCTGCCTGCAGGCGATGAGCAGACGACGCTGGCAGAGCCTAGTTAAGAGTCACCTTTAGCCAGCGGACTCCAAAAGTAAAAACACGACGGTGGCGGGTGGTGAGCGATATGGAGGGCGGGAAGGAGTTGAATCACTCCATAATCTGCCTCCATACCCGCGCATAGTTTTCGTTGCACCCTCTATCCTCACAGAACCTTAAATTCACATTGTCCCAACAAGTTATCTACGTCCCCCTCCCTGAAGGGATATCAAATTGGGCGGGAGCTCCCGCGAACCCTGACCTGGCCCATCCACGAAGGCTTAGGACCTGGAGGGAGAACGTTGGGGAGCGGCGCGGGGGCGCTTTTTCAAAAAATGCCGCTGAATGCTGCTTCCTGTCCTCCTCCTACTAAGTTGCTCTCCCAAGATGTACCCCCAAACCATATTCTCCCAGCCCTGCTGCCGCCAGTGACCTCAGGGCTTCCCTTTGGCCTCCCACTCGGGACTTCCTCCTCCGGCTCCACTAGGCCCCAGGACCCGGCGGCACGCACGGCGCTCGGCCTACAGGCCCCGCCAGGCAGGCGGGCAGCGAGGTACCATCCCGGCCCATTCCCGCCGCCATTTTCCGGCCACCGTCGCCGCCGCGTAAAGGGGACCATTCCGGAGGAGGAGACTGCGCAGGGGCGCACCGGTCTCCGCCGCAGCGCGGGGGGGGCGGTGTGCGCCGGCACTGGGAGGAATCCTTAGGATCTCTGAAGCCTCCCCTCGCTGGCCACCCTGTCCCAAGCTAAGGGCTCCTACCAGGCCTTACCGAGAAGCCCCTGGCCTCACCCCAGCGCCCGGCGCCTCTACTTACGCGGAAAAATCCCGCGTCCATCTTGCCGCCTCGCTCGGAGATCGCTCCCTATCCCAGGATACACCGCGCCGCCGCGACGGAGGGCGGGACCGGCGGAGGGAAAGCCGAGCGCCGGGACGCAGCGCGCGCCGTTGCACCCGCCCCCTCCGGCCGACACGAGGCCGCGCCTGCTCAGTGCGCCGAGAGCCCGCCACGCGTGCGCACGAGCGCCACGGGGGGCGGGCTTCTGTCAGGCCCTAGGCTCCCCGGTAGGCAGTGGAGGAGGCGCACCTGACGACTGCAGCCAATGGGAACAAAAGGGAGGGCCGTCGAGTCGCCCCGCCCTGCAAATCCTTTTGTGGCGCGTGACCATCCTTGTTCGCGCAATGTGACGTGAGCCATCCTTCGACCCGTAGTGGGAGAGGCCTGGCATGCCGGAGTTCTATGCAGCGATTGAAGAGAAAGGCTGTTACCTCAGAGTGACGCGGGCGAGGCGGCCAGTGTGCCGACGAGAGGCCTGCGCCCTCCCTTTCGTTGTGAAAGTTGTGATTGTGTGGATTTTACGCGTTTACCAGACGAGAGAGGATTGGCTGTAAAGCGGTCGAGCTTGGGAGCAGACATGAAATCTGCCTTGTAGCCCCGCTTGCTCGGCCTTTGGAGGAAGCTGGAAGTGTCCAGTAGATGAGTTACGGTTTCGGCGGCCCCGTAACCACGCCGCGGGGCAGGACGCCCGCGAGAGAGCCGTGGTCTTCGGGCTCTGCCTGGGGCTCTCCCCGGCCAGGGTCATGGACTCCGAGAAGCACCAGCTTCCTCGCAGCGCCTCGCCTGGCCGCCCTGGTGCCTCTGGTCTGGCTGCGAGGGCCTCGGGTTGGATGTGCACTGCTAGGTTTTCTTATTGTTTTGAAAATTATTTTATCTAATAAAGCAGAGACGGGGGTCTCGCTCTGTTGCCCAGGTTGGTCTCGAACTCCTGGCCTTCCCAAAGTGCAAGGACTTAAGGCCTGAACCACCGCGCCCGGCCCCACTCTGCCAGCTTTTCCGCAAGCGCTTCTCGCCCTTCTCTCTTCTCTTTCTTGGACGGAAAGCAGGCGTCCCTTTCTCAGAAAGGCCTCCTCCGGCCATCTTTTGTATCGTTCCCGCCCGCATACACACTCACGCTTTCCTTTTCTCTTTTTCCGCGGCACTTAGCCCACCTGAAAGTATGTATGTGTTTGCTCTCGTGACTGGAGACACCAAGCTGTGTGCTGGCGACATCCTTGCATCTCCAGCTCAGACTTCTCTCCTGACCGTCCCACGTGCCCAAGCTGAAATCCTGATTCCTTCGCCCTCCACCAAAACCACAAACAAACGACCTGCCCTTGCCAGGGTCTTCCCTGGCTCCCGCAGACCTCAGTGGCTTTCCTTTGGTGTAGGACGCAAGCCTGTGTTACTCTTGACTCCTTTTCTTTACCTTGGCTTTCAAACCATCAAGAAACCCTCCCTGCTGTCCTCGTGGTTCCAGGCACCATCGTGTCTTCCCTGAACTGCGCTGACCCCCTTACTGGTCTTCCTGCTTCCACCTTTGCCACTCAGTATCTATTCTAAATGTAGCCAGCAGGGTAGTTATGTTAGAAAACCTTCATCAGACCCTTTTCTCAAAACCCTCCAGCAGCCTCTCATTTCTGTTAGAACAAAAGCCAAAATCCTACCTGATGCACGTTATTTCTTCGTTGATGTAATCTAGAATGCTCTACTTCTAGATATCTTTTTTTTTTTTTTGAGACCGAGTCTCGCTTTGTCGCCCAGTGGCGCGATCTCGGCTCACTACAACCTGTGCCTCCCAGGTTCAAGAGATTCTCCTGCTTCAGCCTCCCTAGTAGCTGTGTCTATCGGTGCGCGTGCCACCACGCCCAGCTAATTATTGTATTTTTAGTAGAGGTGGGGTTTCTCCATGTTGACCAGGCTGCTCTCGAACTCCCGACCTTCAGTGATCCTTCCGCCTTGGCCTTCCAAACTGCTGGGATTACAGGCGTGAACCACCGTGCTGACCTACTCCCGGATATCTACTGGGCAAACTTAAAGTCCTCCCCACCGCCCCCCCGCAGATGGGGTCTTGCTGTGTCTGCCCAGGCTGGAGTGCAGTGGCAGGATCTCAGCTCACTGCAACCTCCGCCTCTTGGGTTCAAGGAATTCTCCTGCCTCAGTCTCCCGAGTTGAGAGCTGGGATTACAGACACCCGCCACCAAGTCTGGCTACTTTTTTTATTTTTAGTAGAGATGGGGTTTCACTATGTTAGCCAGGCGGGTCTGGAACTCCTGACCTCGTGATCTGCCTGCCTTGGCCTCCCAAAGTGCTGGGATTATAGGCGTGAGCTACCGTGCCCGGCCTGGGCAAACTTAAAAGTTTTTACTCAATTGTCACTCACTGAGGCCTAACCTGACTTCCTTGCTGGAAGTTGCTCGGATATCCTCTCTACATCCTGATGCCCTTTACTCTATTTTTTTTTCGTAGCTTTTATCACCTTATAATGTGCATTCACCCAGGCTGGAGTGCAGTCACGTGATCTCGGCTCACACTGCAGCCTCTGCCTCCTGGGCTTAAGCCATCCTCCCACCTCAGCCTCAGAAGTAGCTAGGACTACAGGCCCGCACCACCATGCCCAGCTAATTTTTGTATTTTTTGTAGAGATGGGGTTTTGCCATGTTGCCCAGGCTGGTCTCAAACTCATGAGCTCAAGCAATACCTGACTTGGCCTCCCAAAGTGCTGGGATTACAGGTGTGAGCCACTGCGCCCAGCTGTTTAACCTGTTTTTAATGTTTATTGTCTGTTCCCCACACTAGAATGTAAGTGCCCTAAAGTCAGGGCTTACTGTTTTGTTCATTCATGTGTCACTAGAAAAGTGACACATGGCATGGGTGCAGTAAACATTTGTTCAGTGAATGAAGGCTTTGTCAGACCGCCAAAGACAGGGAAGTGACAGGCCTCCACGGAACAACCACTTGACCAGATGGGAACTATGAAATCACAACACCCCACATCTCCCTGACTATTCTCTATGGTTCTGATTAGTCATTCTGTTTTAGGCTTCCTTCACTGTCTCTGTCTGTTTGCTGTCAATCCTGTAAGTGTTGGTTTTTCTGGTAGTTCTGTCATTGACTATTTTTTCCCTCAACAAAGGTGCCCTCTCTGACCTCTCTTGGTTTTTATTACCTTTCATATTTCAAACCTGTGTATCTCAGGCACAGGTCTGCTCTAGACATGTATTTTCAACTTCCTGCTCACCTGTTTACTTGGATGTCCCATAGGCACCTCAAACTCAACATGCCCTAAACTGAATTCATCTTCATCCACTTGCCTTCAACCTTACGGTTTCCCATTCTCAATGAATGAGCCCACCTTTCTTTCTATCATGATTCTTCTCTCTTCCTCACACTCTAAAACCAACTCTTGCCTTTTCACCTCTCTTAATAGCTTATGCCTCCCTCTCCTCATCCCACACTTCTAAATTGCAGCCACAATAAACTACAGATGCTTGTCTGATTATGAACAGATTTAGGTTTCAAATGGCAATTTCTTAATCTATATATTGGTAAGCCTAAAATGACTAAGAGATGATTCATAGGGCACCTCTTCATCAAGCCTTTTCTGAACAACCTTCCAAAAAGGATATCCTCAATCCCCTAACTCTGTCCTACCTTTATTTTTTCCTTCTTTCTTTGCTTTTGGAGATAGGGTCACTCTGTAACCCAGGCTGGAGTGTGGTGATGCAGTCACAGGTCATTGCAGCCTCCTTGATTTCCCCAGCTCAAGCAATCTTCCTACTTCAGCACCCCGAGTAGCTGGGACTACAGGTATGTGTCACCACACTCAGCTAATTTTTAAATTATATTTTAGAGACGGGGGCTTTACTGTGTTGCCCAGTCTGGTTGTGAAGTCCTGGGCTCAAGTGATCCTCCCACCTCAGCCTCCCAAAGTGCTGGGAGTCATGAGCCACCATGCGTTTTCTTTTCTTTTCTTTCTCTCTTTCCTCTCTTTCCTTTCCTTTCAAGACAGGATCCCACTGTGTCATCCAGGCTGGAGTGCATTGGTGTGATATCACTGCAGCCTCCACTTTCTGGGCTCAAGCAACGCAGCCACCTCAACCTTCCGAATAGCTGGAACTACAGGCTCACACCACCATGCCTGGTTAATTTTTGTATTTTTTTCTTTTCTTTTTGATATGAGGTTTCACCGTGTTGCCCAGGCTCGTCTCGAAATCCTGAGCTCAAGCAATCTGTCTGCCTCATCCGCCCAAAATGCTAGGATTACAAGCATGCACCACTGTGCCCAGTCCTATTTTTTTTTTTTTTTTTTTGAGACGGAGTCTTGCCATCTCCCAGGCTGGAGTGCAGTGGCATGATCTCGGCTCACTGCAACCTCCGCCTCCCAGGTTCAAGCGATTCTCCTACCTCAGCCTCCCAAGTAGCTGGGACTATAGGCGTGCGCCACCATGCCCGGCTAATTTTTTGTATTTTTAGTAGAGACAGGGTTTCACCGTGTTAGCCAGGATGGTCTTGATCTCCTGACCTCGTGATCTACCTGCCTCAGTCTCTCAAAAAATGCTGGGATTACAGGCATGAACCACCATGCCCAGCCCCTTATTTTTTTTTTTTTAATAACACTTAACATTACCTGGGATTGTTATCTATTTTGTTTATATGTTTACTATCTTCTTCCCTTTTTTTTTTTTAAATAAAAAAGCTGTATGAGGGTGTGGATTTGCCCATCCTTGGAGCTCAATAAACATTTGTTGAAATGAGTATATGAATGAGAGTCTAAGGCTGGGCATCATGGTTCATGCCTGTAATCCCAGGACTTTGGGAGGCCAAGGCAAGAGGATTGCTCCAGGCCAAGGGTTTGAGACCAGCCTGGACAACAGAATGAGATACCCCCAACCCCACTGCCCCACCTCTATTTTTAAAAAAGAGTCTAAGGCTCGGTTTCCAAAGGCATTTCTTCCAATGAGTGTCTGTTGGTTAAAATGTTACAACCACTGATTCTATCAGTAAGAGTCTATACTGGAAAATCGTCTAAGGCCGATGAGCTGCCTCCCTGATGATCCCTGCAGATGCAGTGGATAACTACTTGGCAGTGAAAGTTTTTGCAGACACCACCTGTTGCTCACTTTGATGCTGGGCAGATCAGAATAGGTCTTGGCTGGGCACGGTGGCTCGCGCCTATGATCCCAGCACTTTGGGAGGCTGAGGCGGTTGGATCACTTGAGGTTAGGAGTTCAAGACCAGGCTGGCCAACATGGTGAAACCCCATTTGTACTAAAAAATACAAAAATTAGTCAGGCAGTGGTGGCACACGTCTGTAATCCCAGCTACTTG